CAGACAAGAGTTAAGTCCAAGAAAGGAGACATGACTACAGATGAGAAAAGATTTTTTTAATTATAAAATAATTAGATATTACATGCTCAACTAAATTTCTGGCAACAAATTTGAAAATTCAGAATAAATGAATAATTTCCCAGCGTAATACAAACTACCAAAATTGACTCAAGAAGATTTGAGTAAATGTTTTACCACAGAAGATGTGAGAAGGTGATTAAGGGCCTACCACTGAAAAAGTCATCAAGTCCAGAGAGCCTTCACAGCTGAGTTTTATCTGACCTTTAAAGGACACATAAGTTTTCAGAGTATTTAAAGTATTCCAGGTCACAGAAAAAGAAGAATCATTCTGCAGTACATTCTATGCAGCCCAGCGTAACTTTAATCCTTTACCCTGATAAAGTGAATACCAAAAAAACAAAAAAAAACCTGACTCCAATCTCACTTATGAATATTGAAGTAAGGTTCTAAATAAAATCCAGCAATGTATCGAAATAATAATATACTATGACCAACAGGACTTATTTCAGTAATGTAAGCGTAGTTCAAAACCAGAAAATCTCATTTGTATCAGAAACTTAAAATGAGAAAAAACGAAAAACGAATTGATAAAATATAGCAACCACTGCATTTGTAAAAATCTCTAAGTAAATGAGAAAACTATTTAAAATAAGACTATTCAACAAATACCAACAGTAACTATTATTCTAACTAGAGAAACACAGAAATATTTAAATTTAAAATCAGCTCTAGACAGAGTGGCCCCACCAGCACCATTTTTATTTAATTCTTTGAGTTTCTAGCAAATGCAATAAGATTAAGAAAATGAAATAACTGCTGTAACCACTGGAAAGAAGAGAGAAAGCTAAAATAAAAATTTAATAGAACTAACAAGAGAATTTGGTAAGAGAGTTAGGTATAAGATAAATATTTAAAAATCAATAACCTTTTTTATTCTAGAAAGAAGCACTTAGGAATATAAAGGGGAAAAAATAGTCTACTCGTAAAGACAAAAAAAGCAGTCAAATAGTTAGGAATAAACGAGATCTGAACAAATAAAAAGAAATACCATTTCTTAGATAAAAAAGCGATATAACTAAAGAATCAATTCTCACAAAACTAAAATATATATTTAATGCAATTCTAATTAGAATCCCAATAGGGTTTTTTTTTTTCAGGGAGGGTGAATAAAAGTGATCTTAAATTTTGTATATGTATTTAAAAAATACCCAAGAATAGCCAAGAAAAATATTCTAAAAACTAATGCAATCAAATTAATATAATTCTGGTACACAAATTGACAAATGCTGTATTTTTATGAAATAATGTGCAACCTTTGCATTTGTTTGCCGGCCGCGCCCTCCCCCTTCGAGGCACCCTCACAAGTGCCTCCGTGCCAATCCTCTTCCACATGTTGCTGGTAAAAAAAAAAAAAAAATTAGCAACAGTGCGCTTACAAAAATACCTAGTGGCGGAGGGGAGGGCAAGGCTGGCAAACAAATGCAGAAGGTGCGTGTTATTTGCATAAAAAATATGGTAGATAAAACAGAATCCATAAGTAGATCCCATTATACAAAAATTTTAATAGATGACAAAGGTGGTAGTTCAGTTCACAGGAAAAATATGGATTACTGAATATATTATGCTAGCACAACTGGTTAGTCATCTTTAAGAAAACAAAACTATGCCTCATACCATATACTATATACCTCATACCATATATAAAAATAAATTCTAGATGGATAAGACAAATATAATGCTTTTAATCTGCCAAGAAAATTTAGATTATATGGAGCCCTGGTGGCACAGTGGTAAAGAAGTACATCCGCTAACCCAAAGGCTGGCAGTTTGAATCCACCAGCTGCTCCTTGGAAACCCTATAGGACAATTCTACTCTGTCCTACAGGGTCACTGTAAGTTGGAATCGACTCAGTGATGTATATAGATATAGATATATAAACAGCCCTGGTGGCACAATGTTTAAGCACTCGGCTGCTAACCAAAAGGTTGGTGGTTGGACTCCACCAGCTGCTCTGCAAGAGAAAAGATCTAGTGATCTGCTCCTATAAAGATTACAGCCTAGAAAACCCTATGGGGCAGTTCTACTCTGTCACACGGGGTTGCTATGAGTCAAAGTCGACTTGACAGCACGCAACAGCAACAACAACATAAAATCTAGAGGTGGGCTAGAGCTTCTTAACTGGGACTAGAAATCCAGAAGCTATAAAAGAAAAGAGCCACATTTGGATATGTAAAAATTTAAAAATTTACATGGAAAATATCCATAAGCAAAGACAATACATAAACAAAGATTTGGTAAAGATAACTGTAACTGTGATGACAGACAAAGGGTCAGTATGTAAGATATACAAAGTTCTTACAAATTAAGAAAAATATAAACAACCTACAGAAATAGGTAGATGATATGAATAAACAATTCAGGAAGAGCAAATTTAATTGGACCAAAAAAAAACATGAAATAATGCTGAAATTCACTAGTAGCCAAGAAAATACACCTATTAGGTTGTCAAAATTATAAAAGAATCATAACACCTATTGCTGGTGGTGAAATAAAGAATACTCTCATACATTATACATTACATACAAAAATGAATGTGAAGTGTAACAGCCTTTTTTTGTAAATCAATATGACACCATCTGTTAACATTCATATGTATGCATGTAGGTATATAAAAGATAACATATATACATAAAAGATACACATGTATCCAGGCAGTGTTTCATTCCATTATACATGGGGTTGCCACGAGTCAGGGGCTAACTCGATGACAGCTAATAACAGCAACAAATATATATATATATACACATACATATGTATATGTATACATATGTGCATATGTGTGTGTATATATATATATATACATATATACACGTATGTGTGTGTGTAAATGTTCATCAAAAGCACCAGTATGTAAAGGCATATGCGCAATATTTATTTCAGCATTGACAGAAATCTGGAAACAAAGTAAATGTTCATTAACAGGGGAATGGCTAAATAAATTGTTGTTCATCTATGAAATATTTTGCAGTCTTTAAAAAAAGTAAGAGCTATACCAACTGATTTTAATAGATTTCCATGAAATATGTTTGAATGAGAAAAGATGTATTAAAATATATATAATAAAATTCCACTTTTATAAAACAACAATGAAGAAGAACAAAAAATTCCAAAACCCTATATGTGTATGTGTGAACCTGAATGTATATATATGATTATATAAGCATGGAGAAAAATATAGAAAGATACATACTGGTTAGGTAACATGCAGGGATGAGTGGAAAAGGGGACTGCAAGGAGACAAAATAGGAAAAGAAAAAAAAAAGGAACACTAGAAAACTATAAATTCAGTTTCTGTTAATGGTGGTGGAATAAGCTGGAAAAGGACAGTGGTAATGGTTGCACAACATTATGAATATAACCAATGCCACTGAATTATACATGTAAAAATTGTTTAATTGGCAAATATTTTGTTATATATATACTTTCACCACATAAAATAAATTCAGCAATCATATTAATACATTTCTATATGTATAGAAACATATAAATAAATTAAATTTAGAAAAGATACACTGCGAAAACTATACAATATGATCTCTGCTTATTAAAAAAGGAAAGGAAATAGCCAAAATTATCTCTTGGAGTTGAATTACGGACAATGTTTATTTTCTTCTTTATGTGTCTCTGTATTTTCTAAAATAAGAATTTGTTATTTTCATAATAATGACATAAAACCAATAAATGTTACTTTAAAAACATTATACTGAATAATTGAGCTCATTTTGGAAAATCAAGGGAGGGAAACAAGGTTAAATACCCCTTCCCCTTAGGAGCTGTCCAAGTAAGAAATATATGACATCAGTATCCATTACCCCTCACCCGGCAGAAAGTTACTCACCTAAGGCAAGAGACTAAGTGGCTATTTGAAGCAGCAAATGGGGTAGTTTTTTTCCCTACCTAACGCTTTAATGACTTAAGTAAATCAGAAAGCCATTTACACCGCTCTCAATTATCCAAGGATCTGCTAGGCTCTTTACTTCCTGTTCTCTCCCTCTGGCTAGCGGCCATTTCACTGCTCGTGAACAGCTCCAAAATGGTGGCCAGGGAAAGGGGAAAAGAGATGAGAGTAATTTGGTCGATTTAGCTTCTCATTAACAACTCTAATAAAAGGTCTGATAAGTGAAATGGTCACGACTCACAGTTAAAAGGAGGGTTCTGGGACTCTCGAGAATTTCATTTATGCAAAATTTACCTTCAAATAAACACGATTTCCTGCTATATACTTTAATGAATTTGATACTTGCTACTTTTAAGAAAAGGAGGCCTGGTGGCACAACAGTTAAGTGCTCAGCTGGTAACCAAAAGTTTGGCAGTTTGAACCCACCCAGAGGTACCTCGGGAGAAAGACCTGATGATCTGCTTCCCTAAAGATTACAGCCTTGAAAACCCTATAGTTTTTTTATGGCAGTTCTACTCCAAAACACATGGGGTTGCCATGAGACGAAATCAATTCAATGGCACCTAACAACAACAACATTTTTAAGAAAGTCAAGACTTGTAATACAAGGTGATATTTTTCTCTTCCCATTTTAATTTATACTTTAAAAAAAATAAAAACACAAGAATGCCCTTCAAAGTGAAGAACCAAATCCTCAGTGGAGCGGTAGGATCACAATGCAAAGATTCTTGAGAGGAGAGGGAAGCTCTCTGGCCCCCAGCCTGCTCTCAAGCAAAACTTTAGGACAGCAATCTTCCAAGGATTGCTTAAAAGGTGTGTTAAGGGCTTGACAAAAACCAGATCTCCATATACTACACTTCCCTGTTTCATTGGGCCCTCATAGACTTTTCTGTCCCTGGAGAAAGCCCAGAGAAAAAGCGGTTCAAGCCCAAGGTGTTCACAGCAATGTACTCATCACCTTTTATTATCAAACAGTCTGAACAGCAATGACAACAGAGCAAAAAAACAATTTTCCCTTACTTGAAGACAACGATAGCTCCTCGACATGGAGGGCAGGCCAGGAGAAAGATCTGCAATTGAAAAAGAAGCACGGTTATCAAGAGAAACGCTGGACACAGTGAGTCCATGCTACTTTAATATTCAAGGAAAAAATTAAAAAATAACAAAAACTCTAACATAAAAAAGTAATATAAAAAATATAAAGGTAAGCACGTAGTTTTCCAAAGTATACATTTGTGTTTGCATAGGCACATGTACGGTATATATGGGGCACTGGTGGCACAGTGGTTAAGAGCTCGGTTGCTAATCAGAAGGTCGGCAGTTCAAATCCACCAGCTGCTCCTTGGAAACCCTATGGGGCAGTTCTACTCTGTCCTACAGGGTCGCTATGAGTCAGAATCGACTCAAGGGCAACATGTTTTATATATACATATGTACATACATAACAGAGAGAAAGAGAAAATGTATTTTGGGGGTAGGAGATGGGAAGAGCTTTTCTTAAGCTAAGTTTCAAACATTTTTCATAGGCCCTGTTATTAATTGAATTATGTCCCCCCAAAATATGTGATGTAAATCCTAGCCTCTATGACTGTGGTTATAATCCCATTTCGGAATGGGTTGTCTTTGTTATGTTAATGAGGCAAGACTAGTGTGGGGTGTATCTTGAGTCAATCTCTTTTGAGATATGAAAGAGATTAAACAAGCGAGCAGAGCAGAGATGGGGGAAGAGAGATGCCAAGCCACATGAAGATCACCCAGGAGAAGGAGCTAAAAGAGACAAGGACCTTCCTCCAGTGTCAACAGAGAGAGAAAGCCTTCCCCTCAAGCCGGCACCCTGAATTCAGATTTCTAGTCTCCTAAACTGTGAGAAAATAAATTTCTGTTTGTTAAAGCCACCCACTTGTGGTATTTCTGTTATAGCAGCACTAGATAACTAAGACAGGCCCTTTTAGCCTCTAGAACACCTCCTCTTAACCTTTAGAACAAGACTCAATTTGACTCAATTTTTCAACTCTTCAACTTCAATATAACACAAGTAGCCAGTCTTAGAAGCTTTTAGGCCAGGGCAAGTGAAAATAGATTCTGAGCATGGGACAAGTACACAAATGCCATCTGGTTTGCTTCCCACAGGGCAAGGTAGATTTATCAATACCCAGTATTGCCAAATACAGCAAATAAAAATACAGGATGTGCAGTTAAATTGGATTTCAAATAAATAACTTTTTAGTACACTGATGTCCTAAATATTGCATGGAATATACTAAACGAAAATTCATTGTTTATCTGAAATTCAAATTTAACTGGGCGTCCTGTTTTTATCTGGCAACCTTATCAATACTGCTACCCCAAGCTCCAAACTTCTCTTTGATTTGATTGGTTTCTTTCTGAGCATGCTTGGGTGATTTTGCTCTTCTATTCTCCTCCCCGGGCAAATCAAACCAGAAGAATCTTGTCCTTCTAAGAGACAAATCAATTCCGTGTTACTTGGTGTGACAGTAGGCCAGGATTACATAGACTTTTAAAACCTGCAGCTATGACAGTTTGACCTTCATCCACACAGTAGTTTTTCTTCAAATGTCAGAGGACACAAAGAATCCCCTGGCAAACTTGATAAACATGCAAATTCCTGGGCTTTCGGATTAGGAATTCTGATTCAAAAAGTCTGGGACCCAAGGCCTAGGAATCAGCATGTTTAACAAATGCCCCCAGGAGATTCGATGACAGGCAGTCAGATATAATGTTTGAACTACTGTGGAGCCCTGGTGGCACAGTGGTTAAGAGCTATAGCTGCTAACCAAACAGTCGGCAGTTCAAATTCACCAGCTGCTCCTTGGAAACCCTATGGGGCAGTTCTACTCCGTCCTATAGGGTCGCTATGAGTCGGAATCAACTCAGTGGCAACGGGTTTGGTGTTTTCTTGGTTTGAACTACTATAGGGTCAAAGACACTGGGCAGGACTTTTGTTTTTGTTGTTGTTAGTTGCTACAGAGTTTTGATTTCGACTCCTGGCAACCCTGTGTGCAGAGTAGAACTGCTCCAAAGGGTTTTCAAGGCTATGACCTTTTGGAAACAGATCATCAGGCCTGTCTTCCGAGGTACCTCCGGATGGGTTCAAACCACCAATCTCTTGGTGAGTAGTCATTCACTTACAACAGAATGAAACTCATGTTTGTACAGTCCTGCTGACTAAGGTGATTTAATGGTGTCATTTAGAAAGCATGGATGTGTTTTACCATCTTGTTGAGAATCTTATTAACATAAACTGGACTGTTGGCTTTGTCATGTGTATGTTCTCTCAGTCTACATTTTGAAGGAAAGAGTAAGGAAAATATCTATAAGGAAAGACACCGGCTTGAATCCCCGCCAAGAGGAAGAGAAAAGAGAATGGAAGAGGGAAAAGGTCTTGAAAGGAACATGGCCAGGAGTCCATCACCTGCACAATACCTCATTAAAGAACCCCTCCCAGGAAATATCCTTCGAGAATGTGCCTTTTACCCTGTGGATCGATTTGATTAAAAGTATAAAACCAGTGACAATTACAGGTCTACAACCCTTTATCAACAATCCCCAAATCCAAAAGGCTCTAAAAAGTAAATTTTTTTTTTCCAAAGCCAATTTGGTAGCAAAACCTGACTTCAACTGATGTGAGGCTATTAACAGATCTTATTTATTCCACTTATGGTGCATACATTTTTCCAAAGAAATAATAATGTATTTTATTATGGGGTGTTGCCCCAGACCCCACTGGGAGTAAATGTAAAATACACCGTATGTACTATATTACCTTTCTAAAATCCAAAAAATACTGATCTCTGAAATACATCTGGCCCTAAAAGTTTTAGATAAGGATTGCAGACTTGGAATTTCAATCATCCAAACATGAACTTATCCCCACTCCCCATCCCACCCCTCAGGAGCAATCCAAGTAAGAAATAAACAAAGCTGGTATTCTTTACCACTGATCCAGGAGTAAAGTTACTCACCGTAGGCAAGGGACCAAGGTGGAGGCTGCACATAGTTACCCAGCATCAGGCCCATCAAATGCTATACTCAGTAGCTACAGCATACAGAGAACAGACAGGGCCCCCCAACCACCTTGGAAAGGTCCTCAATACTTCTCTCTAGAGTCACCAAAGAGTCATGCCAGTAGCCTTCCTGAGTTTCTGGAATACCCAAGACACTTCCAACATGCTAAACAGAGAAGCAAAAATACAATACTGGGCCCCACAGTTAACTCTTGCTTTTCTATATCCACAGCCAAGAGAGGATGAGCAGATTCTTGAGGGCAGATTTCCCCATAACTGCTCCATTCGGCTGGTTCTGACCCACAAAAGCTCTATGCCAGAAGCCCAGGAATCTATTAAAGGGAGCAATCCTCCAGTCCCCGCCCGGCAGAGTAGCTTATCATATTAACCTCCATTCAGTCATGGATCTAACTTCCTTTGAGGCTTGACTCTAAATGGATTTTCCAATAACTACTTTCATGTGGCCAAGTCATCCCAACCAACACTTTGGCCTTTTTCATCTTTCCTATCTATTCCCATTACCAGGATAGAGGGTATCTTTCTGAAGCAATCTTTAAATTAGATATCTGTAGATATGTCAAATCAGCAGATTTGAAAAAGCACCCCAAATTCATCATATTCTATTTCAAGCGAACTCATGGCCTCCTTCAGCAACTTTAAAGATTTATTACATTGAACCTCTCTGCTTCGTCATGCTTGAGCCACATCCATGAGCACCATTAACCAAAGGAGTCACATGAAAATAACATTTTAATTCAGAGGGCCAAGGGCCAATGAGTCACAAGAGCCCCCAGCTTTGGTCTGAATATCCCTGCTTTCTTCCTTGGTTGGCTTCCAACCGCCTCCAAATTTTGGTAGTATGTGTTTTAAACTAGCAGACAGAAAGCTAAACTATCCCTTCAGCTCCAAACAGAGTGGGAAGAGCGGACACTTAGAAATGCAAACAAGGGCTGTAGGAAGATGAGAATGCATCTGAGCATATCCCAGCACCAAATTGGCACTTTGTATTCATGCTGAATTCTGCCCAGCTCAGCACCTGAAGAAAAGAGCACAGGCAGGTAGCATACAGAGAAGTGCTACAAAGTATTTCTACTTTCCCATCACTTGTGAAGTAGGCAGGGCTGTGTTATTAATCCCCATTTTACAGATGAAGAAACTGAGGAGAAAGGTTCTGACCAGCTTTCTGACAAAGTCCCCTACCTCCTAGTGCAATGCACTTACCACCTCACACCTGACACACACCAGACCTCAGGGAGGCTTCCCTTCTTTAGACTCTAGCCCTGTCCTTTGATCCCAATGTCACACAGGGAGTCACCCTAATAGTGTCACACTTGTGCCACCAAACAGCTTACAAGATCTACTTTCTACAATATGAGATACCTCAAAACACAAACTCAACAGGGCAGAAAATTACGTTTACACTGGTTGGTTTCAGAGTACAAGCTCCAACCTGCCTCATCCCCAGGCCTGGTGGACTCTTGCAATCCTTATAAAATTGAGGTCTTTTCTGGCTGGTTTTTATGGAAAAATTCGCAGGTTCACTCTCTCAGCTTCGCCAGGAAGTTCCCTGTACTACTCCAAAGTTTTCCTGCCCAGAAATGTATAAATTCAACTCTTTCCTAAGCATCCCATCTAGGCACCAGCTGCTGTCCCAGTTCATCCTCTAATTCTGAACCACTCCTCTGGTTCCAGGGTCCCACCTTCCCTGCCCAACCTCTCAGCTATCACTTGTTCTGCTTCCTGTCCCCACAGTCGTATCAGCCCAACTTCATTGCTATCATTGTTCAGCCTCCCATCCACTTCTGCTCCATCCCACCATAAGATTGAACTAACCCTACTTTCATAGCACCTAAAGAAGACAGCTTTTGTTCACAGGAGGATGTGTTAGTACTATGAGAAATATAATTAAGAAGGAGCACCAGTCACCAAAGATCACCCCTAAATGATAGGCTAGCCAGGCAAGCAGTGAAAGGGACAGGAAAACTAAATGAAAGAGAAACAGAGAGTGAGAGAGATGAGAGAGACGAGAGAGATAGTCCTTGGTC